AGCAATTTTCATATATGCCCCACATAGTTGACCAGCTGTAAGGATCTTTGCCAGCCAGGGAGTTCTATCCTAAGCTCCAGACAACTGCGACATTTGGCAGGGCCTGGTAGTGATTTACAAACTCAGAAATGCCACAGAGAGGAAACCATGGGTTCCCAGAGCTGTTGAAACATCACAAGAGGGCTGCTCAGGCCAGGATCCACMGGAGGAGCACTTGGGAAACATCAGGTTGAACAAGTTCAGTAACAGGACTTGTGAAGGTCAAGAGGGGCTGAAGTCAGRTTCTGCTGAAAATATGAAACACAAAGGATCTGAGGCAGATAGTAGGAATGGTACAAAATCATGGATCTGTCACAGAGAACACATGATCTGGGGTCTRGAAACCAGCTGTGGGGACGGTCAAGGCACTCGGTTTCCTTCAGTCTGCGGAACAACCCTGCAGCCAAGGGCCCACAGGTCACACTGCACGCCTTGACCACTCTTCAGCGTCCTGTTTCATCTTTGCATAGGTGGCAGGGCAGAACTGGGAATAGAGCTGAGCCAGCAGAGCCTGAGAGGAGACCTCTAACTTGGTCTTACGGCTCAATTTGTTCCATATGTGCACTGCATAGCTGTTCTTAAGGAGCTTGTGAAGGTCCAAGGCACTGATGGACTCAAACAACTTCCTCCAGTGCTGCCAGGGAATAGGGTAAACAGCTTCTGGGGCAAGAGCACGCACACCTTTACAGCTCATGCTTGTGATAGTCTTGAGGGAGCACCACTTCTTGAAGACACGAGTTACGAGCCCTGGGCCCTGGTGGCCCCAGGCCCGGCCATTGTAGTTCTGTACAAAGTCCTGCATGCAAAGCTCCATGAATTCGTGCTTGGGCTTAAAGGACAGAAAGGCTTGATTCAGTTCATCGTGGCACTGAATCCCAATAGCATTGGTGAGGTTTTCCAAGTTCTTAAGCACAATGAAGTCTGTATCCAGGTAGATGCCACCAAATTTCCACATGAGGACATACCTGCAGGCATTAGACAGGACATTTAAAAAATAAGGCTCCTGGCGCCGCTCAGGGTTCAAGTACCATTGTGCCAGAGGCGTTCCAGAAAAGAGCTCAGTCGGGTCGAGGGGCCGGATCTCCACATTGGGGAAGCATTTCAGCAAGGAAAAAGCCCAGTGCTCAGGTAAGGAGGTATTTGCACTGGCCAAACCTTTCATGAGCACCACAACTCTTGACCCTGGGTGTGTCCTGGCCGCTGACTCCACAGAGCATGAGAACACATAACTAATGTTAGTTTGCTCTGAGGTGTCCACAAAAAACACATTCCCTGGGGAAGGAGAGGGCCCACCAACAATGACATTGGAAGAAGGCACAGAGCGAGCACACTGGCTTTCAGCAGACAAGCTGTCTGAACTCTTTGTGTTCTCCCAGATCCTCCAGTAAAATCTGTGGTAGGTGAAGGACACAAATATGAAGAGGAGGAGAAATGGAG